CTTCCACACTTGAACTTGGATGTATCCGGTGGTCTATCACGGCAGTGGCCTCAGGAGAGATGACGTTATCCTTGACCCCAGCGTTGAACCGCGTCAGAGCGGTCGTCGTCCGAGCGAACGCGTTGGTCTGCGGCTTCTTTGAGTACACCCAGCCAACCAATGGGGAGAAGAGCCAGAGGTTAGAGGTCAACATCCGGTAGGGTAAGGTCATCTCCGTGGCAACGTACTCCAACATCCGGGTCTCCGGGCCCGTGCCAAACATCTTAAACATGTTGGGATGCGGGCTGTCCTCAAGCTTACTGATAGCTTTGGATAGAATTCCTACAGTAACCAAATGGGACATGGAAGATTAAGTGGTCAGTAACGGATTTCAATGAATTATTGTGGGGTCGTGTGGCGTAGCGGCAGAGTGCTTGACTCGGAACCTAGAGGTCCCGGGTTCGAGTCCTGACATACCACCGATCTTGTGCCCTTGGGAAAGGCACTTTACACGACTTTCCTCACTTCGCTCAGGTGAAAATGAGTATTGTATTGGCCCCTGTGTTGGTGGCGGCATTAATATAAGTTTAAAAAGAGTGTGCCGTCACCACGTCTTGTGATTACATGTTGGAAATTATTTAAAAAATCATGAATGAAAAAAAATTACGGTGGCTTATGATCGGATGTTGACACATTGGTGTACCAAATCTTTAGTGTGTTTTTGGCACACATTTATTTAGACAAATTAGCCTAAGTCTAAGAGGCTCAGTGGGCGTCACTCCACCGTACAGGGAGGGAAGTCGTGTAAAGTGCCTTTCCCAAGGGCACAACGTCGGGCCACGGTGAGTATCGAACCCAGGACCTATTGGTTCCGAGTCCAACGCTCTAACCGTTGCGCCACCGACGCCAATAAATTAATATATAGGAAAGCTTGTAAAATAAATTCAATGATAGTCAAGAAAAGAATTTGAATAGTATATTATTCTCCATACTATACTCTGTGTCATTTGTTCGACCTTCATGACCACGTAGATTTCATAATTTCATAACTTTTTTTTTTGCAAAACTTTTCTTTCATTCGCACGCTCGCATCAGTTTTGGGGTTCCCAGAGGATGTCATCCATACAATCAAATCAACATGGCCTTAAGAATAACTAAACCGACTGAAATAATACACTAAGTCTTGTACTTACCGATAGCTGACTCAGATCTAGGCATAGAAGCGTGTCCACCTTCTTCATTCACCGTTAGATGCAGCTGCAAGAAACCCTTTTCAGCTACACTGACCAGGGCAACTTGTTTACTTACACCTAAAGGATAGAAAACAGACGACAATTCAGTCGGGACTATGACAATACCGTGCTGCAATCCTTACTGAATGCTTATACACAGTAGCACTGTTGTACCTGTCCTTGGTACTGAATAGTACACTCCAGCAACGTTGTGACCTTCCTTAGTACATAAAAGTGTGCACACTGACACTGTTGTACCTGTCCTTGGTACTGAATGGTGTATACTCTAGCAATGTTGTGGTCTTCCTTAGTACAGAAAAGTGTGCACACTGAAACTGTTGTATCTGTCCTTGGTACTGAATGGTGTACACTCTAGAACGTTGTGACCTTCCTTAGTACAAAAAGTGTGCACACTGGCACTGTTGTACCTGTCCTTGGTACTGAAGGTGTACACTCTAACAACGTTGTGTCCTTCCTTAGTACAGAAAAGTGTGAACACGGACACTGTTGTACCTGTCCTTGGTACTGAATGGTGTACACTCTAGCAACGTTGTGGCCTTCCTTAGTACAGAATAGTGTTCACACTGACACTGTTGTACCTGTCCTTGGTACTGAATGCTGTGTGCATCAGCACTTGTTTTTATCCTTGTCCTTGGTACTGATTGAATGGTGTGCGCTTTATAATTTTCTAGTACATCACACATCTCTCTGTTTTCTTGTCATAAAATGAATTGATATACTAGAAAGATAACATTTGCAAAGCAAATGCATAATGTTTACCTTCGCATATGGTCTGCTCTGTTAATTTTTACACATTCATATATATGGTGACAGGAGTCTAAATCCCTCCTGCTATAAAGTTGCAACATGATGTATCGCTACACTAGTCACCATGGTGACAGACGTCTGGTTGAGGTCATTAACCGTATTGGTAAATATAAAAAACAATTATGTATTCCTAGAATATTTCATGTCAAAGCTCACCTGGTAATGTACTCTAAATGATGTAGAAAAATTATTTTTAATATTTCTATAATATTTTATGTCGAAGCTCACCTGGTACAAGACCTTCCCCTACAGGAGTTCCTTCGTCAAGAATAAATTCTATTTTCTCTCCCCTTTGAGCCAACATTTCACCGATGACCTTCGCACCAAAATGGCCGCTTGTCTCCTCGTCATGCCCGAAGGCGAGGTACAACGTGCGTTTCGGTCGATGTCCTCTCGAAAGGATAAACTCCACAGCCTCTAAACACCCCATCAGACTATGCTTGGCGTCTATGGTCCCTCTACCGTAGATATACCCGTCTTTGAGTTGTCCTGAAAACGGTGGCGCTTCCCAGTTCGCTTCCTGTGTGATTGGGACCACGTCTAGGTGGGATGCTAACATGTAAGGTTTCAGCGAGGCGTCCGAGCCATCCACTCGGTACAGAAGGCTATAGTTCCCGACGACATCCCTCCGGACCAACGGTGATCCGTGAATCGTTGGGAAACTCTCCCGGATAAACTGGGTGAACCTTGCTAACTCCTGCGGTGTCCCTACGCCGCGTTCGTAGGACACGGTTCGGAACTGGATGGCTGAAGTGAACCGGGACAGTCTTTCTTGATCGGCGGGGATGAAGTCGGGGTCGGTGAGCTTGCATTCCGGTGGGGAGGTCTGGTAGGACGGGAACGTCGCCGTTCTTATGACCACAATCGTTGCAAGCACCGCCAAAGTCAAAGCGAATCCCCGTACAACTAAGGACAAAACACGTGGAAGACTTTTCCACATTCTGTAGACTTTACATGTAACGTTGAATATTCTATGTAATTGTCTACTATGTATCCTTCTCAAAACTTCCTAGTATAGGCAGGCTCCGATTTCATACTTTGCAATGAAGATCTTGGATTTTCTGTGGAAATAAAAGTCATGATATGAAATATTGACAGCTTAAAGCCGATATTAATGTCATGTACCACAGTCTAGATGTGGATTGGTGGGTATTCAACCCTAATATTGCAAGCGTTTCATTGCTTCTCGGCTACATGATTCTATTTGCTCGTTGGATTTGGTCTGTCTCAAATCTTATAAGTTATAGCTTATGTTAACTACTTGAATCAGAACTAGACTAGGCCTACTTCCCTGTGCCCTCCCCTCCTCACCGGACAATTTAGACAACTTCTGTTGAAAATTGATTAACCATCGATCACCAAGGACATGGTTCTTGTTGTTACATTCGCCCCCCTCCCCACCTATACCGTTCTTTTTCGTGTGCATGCTTTTATTACTTTCAATAGTATTAAACCTGACTTACCTTTGATGATACATGTGAATATGACTGTAGCACACGCAAAACACCACTTAGAAGTCCATGAGGATGGGAAAACATGTTTTCATGGGCATCGTCAGTTCACTTCCGGGTATGTGTGTGCAGGACCACTCACTAGCGCCACCATGCGATGTAAATAGAGACTGCAGTTGGAGATTCCCACTTTACTTCTGTGACAGGTTTACAGAAAGGCATGATGATCAGTTTTGAGCCGCAAAAACAAAGCATTTCTTTCAAAAGTCTCTCCAAATGATATCTTTTTTTCACATAAACTCTAATATTAATTATTGATTTAGCGTGTGAGTTTAAAATTAAGTCATTATTTTGAGTAAATACTGTCTTTTGTTGCATTGTTTAGGATTCTACTCTCTGCAACCTTTTGTTTATCGCGCGGTCATTCCTCCCACTTATTGAACTCTCGTTTGTCTCGCGAGAGTTGCTAAGGGACGAATGGCGCCCTAGCAACAGGGAATCAAAATAGACTGTGGCGGTCTGGAGTAACTTGTCCGCAGTTTTAGCTCTGCTTTTGCTGTATATTTTGGGATTTTGGTAAGTATAAACGTATTTCACGATGTTCTAAACTTCCAGTCTAGCTTCAAGTGAAAAATAGAAGGTGGTGTAACCGTAGTATTCGCTTTCGGACCTTGTTTCTTCGTCGACACAACACTTGAAATTTCGTGCCCACAAAACTTTTAGTTTTGTTGCCGGCTTTATTTAAAGTTACCTGTATTATTTTAGCGGCTAAGGTTGTAACATAGGCTGCCAAACGACTAAATTGAAGCTTTGATACGTTTATTTTAGAGCATTATCACGTATTACCGTTACTTCTATACCAAGTTTTGTATCGACATGCATAACTCTTGAGAAGGGGGAGGGGGGCGGTTTCCAAAGCAAATTATGAGCACAAATTTTAAAATTTCTCCATCGTTATACAGTGGTATTAACATTTAACATTAACTATTGTTCTACTCTCCAGGCTCAATCTTGATAAGAGAATTGTTGTTGTTGTTGTTGTCCGTTTAACGTCTAATATCTCACTAGATGTGGTCTCTTGGTGCTGGTTTGCGCATAGTTCAGTTCAGAGTCAATATTTTGTATCTCTAGGTATTTAAATCTTGGTGCCTAAGAGAATCAGATATATTAGGTTTATCTGTTAGGTAACAGTGGGGGATTTATAGGCACTACCAACCCATCCGTCTGACGGGTCTAGACCTTTTAGGCGAATGGTTAGAGCATCGGGGTGTGAACTGGTACCCGGGTTGGGTCTGGGTTCGATCCCCGGCCCAGGGGTATCTTTTTGTTTCTACTTGCTCCTAGCTTCTTACAGTTACAAACTAATTAGTTTTTTTCTGCTTTAACTTTAGTTCTATCTTCAATTAATACACAACAAATACACTTTATCTCAAACTTTTCCTTTCATAACAATGCTCGAAATGAGTTGACTATTCAAACTTCTACAACATATCCCAATTTTACTAAACTTACAGACAAAGTAAAAACTATTCTTCTTTTAACATCCCAAAACCCACTAATTTTTTAAAAGGTGGGACATAACGTCTTCCATGGTCTAAAAAAGAGAAGTCAAACCCTTCAGACATAGTTTTAGACATAGCTATAGCTTTAGACCACTACCTTTCATCATGTAGATTTTAGTTATTTTATACTCTGTTCTTTTATGTTTGTAATTTGCAATTAGCCTCCGGGCACGAATTTGCAATAAACTTCTCTATTAAATCTCAGTTTTCTTTTTTTTAAATATTTTTAGAAAGAAGAAAGAGACTATTATGGGTCAGACCCTCACCCGAGCGGCGCAATGGACATCTGTCAGTGAGGGGGGTCAGGGGAAGCTGGAGTTCACCCCCCTAAATGAGGCGCTGCTTAACGAGATCATCAAGTTTGCCGAGGGGTTCGCCTCCAAACACCAACAAGAGGCTCAGACCGTGTTCCGCTCCCCGCTAACCTGGGAAACTCAGATCGCGCCGTCTGCATTTTCAGGGGCATATGAAGTCAGGTGAGCTATGTTTGTGTTAACCTTTTCACTACTAAAGCTGTATCCTTACACCTAGGGGCGTGTTGACTATATCAGAACTTATCTGTAAAAGGATTAATATCAGCATGGAGCTATGGTTATGCTCCTTGACATCTGCTAGTGAACAAAAGAACAATTCTGAACAAAATTATAAGTGAACAAAATTCCCACAGTCTGTTTACAGGCATATACAATAGAAGCTACTTGGTAATTTAATAAGCATCTTAGAGGAGCTACTTGTGACTTTTGAAACCTTTGCAAGTTTATAAGTGAATAACAACTCAAATATGACACAGTCCAAAGTTTTGCCAACAATATTGGCATGCCAAAATGATCATCATCATGAATCATAATTGTGACGAGACACGATCTTGGTTAGGACCATACATGTTAAAATGTAACTCAATTGTACATTATCTTATTACCAGAAGCATTGGACCAATCAGAAGGCTCCATTTCCCGTTGGTTTAAATTAGAATAACTGACCACATCTTATATAAGTTATAAAGGAATTTGTGTACATGGTGAGATAATCCCTGGTCAGGTGCGATAACCACCGAATAAACCACCGAGTGAGCGGAGGGCAGTAACCCTGTATTCATCCATCTTTATTTTCTCCATCTCTCCAGTGACAACAAGGCTGTATCAGAGGCTAAGGCACCTGATGGACAGCCTTTACTTGTGCTGGAGGCTGCAGGGGGCAAAAACACGGTCAGTGTCAGCTCGTTTGACCAACTGTCCGCAGTCCTCAAGTACTCTGGGGACAAGATGAGAGAGGCCAGGGCCTGCTTGGAAGGTGGGTATCATCTTTAAAACCTAGCCTTAATTTTCATCTTTGGATAGAACTGTCATAGATCTGTCACCATGATAAATAGTGTTGGGTTACATCATGTTGCAATTTCATAGCAGGAGGGATTTAAACTCCTGTCACCATATATATGAATGTGTTTGAGTACGAATTACTCATTCTTTCTCATTCTATTTCTATACATTTATGTGTGATTTGTTCAATTGTTGTATTGTTTTCAGCCAATCGTGACCCGGCTGCGAAGATTCTCGGAGACGGTTACGCGACGATCGAGGGTGAGGACAACTCCATGCTGCGTCTGCTGGAGAAGGTGAAGAAGGAGGAGGGTCAGGAGGAGGGAGAGACGCTGCAGGCCACCATGCGGCTGCTGGTCATACTGCAGCAGTTCGACATGCAGCTGCTCAACATGTCCCTGCAGCACATCTCTAAGTAAGGAAATTGTTTGAAGTTTTAGGAGGGCCTGCAAGGGGAGGTCCTGACAACGCTCTACGCTGAATTCGGAAACCTCTCGATTACGCTTTACGATAAATTTCAAGTGGCTATAACGCATTACGTAGAATTAAAACACCGAATATGCTCTACGCAAAAATATTAGAGCGGTCCCTCTACGCTCTACGTAGAATTAAAACGGCTGACTACGCTCTACGGAAAATGGCTTGCGGGCCCCCCTGTAGGGGAGGGGGCAGATACCTACATTTTGGGACAAACCAAGATGAATTGGAGTAGGGGGATTTAAAGATGGATGTTTTCTTCTATGGGATTATTTGGTCTTAGCTGTAAGATAATGCAAGTTTCATTTTTTTCCTGCTTGAACAATATTTCACTCTTCCTAGCCTGACTGAACCTTGCTTTTCGCCGGCTTTATTATTCTGCCACCCAACAGCTCTTTGAGCGCTGGACAAAGAGCTCAAGTGTTCACTGGCTACACTCCTCCCATGCTTTAAAGTTTGCACAAGCCTGAAACCCCATAGGAGTTGTCTATGTTTATAACTGAACACTTTTAAGGCAGGGATTTACAATGTCCATATAATAGGACCTTTTAAAGTTGTGAAATTCTTTAATTTCAAGTGCACCACCATTAGGTGTTGAAGGGTTAACAGAAGTGTTTTGTGTCCCACAGGGAGGTTCGTCTGACTCCAGCTGCAGTCAACAGTGAGGTGAAGCTGCTGCAGTCTTTCTCTGGTGATGACGGGGACAAGACAGTACTGAAGTCTATTCAGTACACTTCAGGTACAGTACGAAACTCCTTCAGAACCTCAGACATTCAACACAAAATGCGTTTTAACTAAGGGCTCCCTTGCATCTCATACAAACAAACAAACAAAGATGGCACACAGACGTATATTACACAATCATGCACTCACACATACACACATACACACACACACACCAAAATGATACCTCACTCCCTTGGGGTGATCTAGTATTCATGATTAGTAATTTAGCATAATGTCAAAAGGCTTCTTAATCTACTGTGAAGCGTGATCTGGACCCCCATATAGACCCTCACTCTTCTATGCAAAAAAAATTTATGCCAGTGACCCACATTTGCACCTAACCCCATAACTACCCTCCACAGACTATGAGTGTAACAATGGTATACTGACTGACCCCATAACTACCCTCCACAGACTATGAGTGTAACAATGGTATACTGACTGACCCCATACCTACCCTCCACAGACTATGAGTGTAACAATGGTATACTGACTAACCCCATACCTACCCTCCACAGACTGTGTTCACAATGGTATACTGACTGACCCCATATCTACCCTCCACAGACTATGAGTTTAACAATGGTTGCCGGGCGCCGCCCTGGCGACAGGTCCACGGGGACATCTGCTATCTGGTCATCAAACCTCACGACACCGACCTACTGTCTGTCAGCGCAAGTACTGCCGGAGTCTACATCAATGGGGTAAGACTTCATATATACATGTATGGTAACAGCAGTCTAAATCCCTCCTGCTATAAAATTGCAACATGATGTAACCTAACACTAGTTACCATCATGTAGAATTTGCATTGAAGTTGCAATTTTTAGGATTAAAACGATTGACAACAAAATTAATACAGCTTTTTACTATGGAAAGTAATACTTTCTATGTACAGAAAAAAAATTAGGTCATGTGTAAAACATTTGATGCATGTTACAAAAATTGCTCAATTTTTTTCCTCAAAATTTTAGGTCATACACTTGATGTATGTTACAAACACTGCTAAATTTTAGTCCTCAAAACTACCTAAAAATTTAGGTCATGCGTAAAACATTTGATGCACGTTACAAAAATTGCTCAATTTTTTTCCTCAAAATTTTAGGCCATGTTTAGTACACTTAATGTATGTTACAAACAGTGCTCAATTTTAGCCCTCAAAACTACCTAAAAATTTAGGTCATGCGTAAAACATTTGTATATTGCAAGTATTGCTCTTTTTTTTCTTAGAACTAACCAATTTCATATGATAAACCCATTGGAAATGTTTTCACTATAGAAAGCTCAGTATTTCAGCTATGTGTATTTTTTAGTGTGGAAATCATTGTTACTGTAACATTCGTAGGTGTCCCAAGAGAAAGTGTCAATAGACAGGGTCTTTAGTTACAATTACATGTATGACTAGATCAACCACCATGTAAAATATTCATGGGGTATTATTGAGTGAATTGTGGTCTGTCTTCTTTGTTAGAAGGCCTGGCTGGTATCAGATTTAAATGTTTGTGAAAAGCAATGGAGCTAGAAATAATTAACATGAACATAGATATTATTTTCAAATTAATGTGGCTACTGCATGCATAGGCATGGTACTATGATGATGTTAAATGTCATGGGTATATTTGAAAAGACAGTGGATATTATTAGATTATTGCAGTCTTTAATAGGCCACACCAATTTAATTTGTTGGTTATCTGATTTTTTCAGAAAAAATATGAAGTGACGGGGTAAAAAAAATAAAAACAGGTCTAGGCATCCTATTATGGCCACAAATGCTATGATAGGAGCCATGAAGTCAACACAAAAGGCTGGGTCAAAATTTAAACAATGAATTTTGAACTTTCAATCAAACCACTGCATTGATAGATGGAAAAACTGTAACAACTAGGAACAGAAGGACTTTCCTTAACTTGGGGGTAAAATATGAGCATTTTTGTGTTGGTTCAGAACCAGAATCTTTTTGTTTTTCAAATCGGAAAAAAACGAAGAGACAAATCCGAGAACCAACAAATTAAATTGGTGTGGGCTTATAGCAGTGCATTTTACATTTTTTCTGAAGAGTTTACAAAGTCTTTTGTGTTTTTCTAGGGTTTTGAGAAGGAGAATTTCTCCGACTTGAAACACGAGAGAGAGGGAGAGATCTACAAGGACCTGGTGACGCTCCTGAAGGAAAAGTCTGCTGTGTTTGCCGAGAACATCGCAAAACAGGTAGGGACTGAGATGTTTTTGGCAATGCCTCAGGGGTGGAGGCATTTTTATAGCATACAGGTTCACCATATACATCTAGGTATCACAAAATCTTTAGAAACATGTGTCTCACTAGGGGTAGAATCAGGGATAGCTTGATGTACCATTTTTGGCATCGAAGAGTAACTGTCAGAAAATTTTGCTATTGTTTCCTACCATCCCTAATGATTTTTACTTTCTGATGATTTTTTTTTTGCTTTCTCTCATGTAACAAAATGTTTTCTAACTTCTCTAGCTTGCTATGAAGTTGTCTTATGATTTAAAAAAATTGACAGTTTCTGTTAGCAATTTTCTATGTAATATTCAGGTAAAAAGTTTTGAAAAATTGTGGAGTCAACAAGTTTGGGTGTCAGGAATCGCATTATAATATTTATCAAACTTTAAGACAGTAATACCAGGAATATCTGAACTCATGTGACCTCAAACGACCTTTGACAGGACTTCACCCTTCGCGAAGACGAGACGACGGCCAATCAGTACGACATCATGGAGAGCGGGGACGAGGGCGACGGCGATAACACGCATCGCACCAACGAGGACGCAAAGAAGGACAGCAAGGAGCCGCAGAAGGCCGAGAAACAGAAGAGCAACTTGAAGAAAACGGGGAAGGACCGAAGTCCACGAAAACAGCCGCAGCCATCGCTGAAGTGGAAGAACCTGGGGCTCGGGGAGGAGGCTGACGAGAAAAAGTGCGTAAAAATCATTTAGAAGTCTTTAGAACAAAGACAATCATGCATCCAGACAAGTAATTTTTCTATACTGCAGATTGGAATATTGTTGTAGACAAACATGATACACACTATTGTACAGCTCAGGCCATGTTGATTTGATTATATGGATGACATCCTCTGGGAACCCCAAAACTGATGCGCGCGTGCGAATAAAAAAAAAGTTTTGCAAAAAAAAAAAAGTTGCTTTCACTATGAAATCTACGTGGTCATGAAGGTTGAACAAATGGCACAGAATATGTTATGGCGAATAATCTACTCCTCGAATTCATTTCTTTACATTTTTGTCTTTTTTCCTTTGATTTTGGCATTCTACGACATTGGTATCATTTCTAAATGTTTTCCTTGCAACTTATGGTATATTTTTGCTCATTTAGCAACTATTTTGCACGATTTACAGTATGGTTGAAAACTTTTTTTTTTTTGGAAACGGCCGAAAATTCATGCGCGCGCGGATGTCATCCATATAATCAAATCAACATGGCCTCAGGTAGTTTTCTACATTGTTGTGCAATCCTATGCTAAAAAATTACAATTTCATCCATCCATCCATCCAGTCATTCATTTGTTCACTTATTCATTCATTTGTTCATTCTGTCTGTTACAGAGAGGAGAAAGACCAGATCAGAGAAGGAAGTGCTGGAAAGAAGGAGAAGAAGAAGGTTACAGTCCAGGAGTCCAAAGGACGAGTGTAGTAAGTCCAATATCCTCCTTAATTATATTACTTGCAGTGCTCTGACACTACTACTAACAAGTACTACACCCATAGCCATAATCAGTAATTTCTTACTGTATGGTACATGTAACATTGAGTTTTTGAGTTCTGGTCAGTAACAGTCTTAGATGACTTAGACATTAACCAAACCTTTCCAATTGTTCTGTAAAATCTGTCAAGGTTTGACAGACCACATCACAAAAGATGTATTTAATACTTCAATGCCATCCACACACAGGCAAGCATGCCTGTCCTTGGTGCTGAACACCATCCACACACAGACAAACATACCTGTCCTTGGTGCTGAACACCAGCCACACACAGGCAAACATACCTGTCCTTGGTGCTGATCGCCATCCACACACATAAAAACATACCTTCCTTGGTGCTGAACGCCATCCACACACAGGCAAGCATGCCGGTCCTTGGTGCTGAACGCCATCCACAAACAGGCAAACATACCTGTCCTTGGTGCTGAACACCAGCCACACACAGGTGAACATGCCTGTCCTTGGTGCTGAACACCAGCCACACACAGGCAAACATACCTGTCCTTGGTGCTGATCACCATCCACACACATAAAAACATACCTTCCTTGGTGCTGAACGCCATCCACACACAGGCAAGCATACCTGTCCTTGATGCTGAACACCATCCACACACAGGCAAACACACCTGTCCTTGGTGCTGAACACCATCCACACACAGGCAAACACACCTGTCCTTGGTACTGAACGCCATCCACACACAAACAAACATACCTGTCCTTGGTGCTGAACACCATCCACACACACACAAAGACACCTGTCCTTGGTACTTAACACCATCCATATGATCACTTTTCCGCCCGACAGTCCAGTGATTAAGGGGCGTAAGTCGAAGACGCCGGCTCAGGACCAGGAGGACACCTTCAGCGAGAGTTCCACGGAGAGCGAGGAAGAAGAGGAGAGTCCAGACCGGCGCCAGGAGGCCAACTCTGACCTCCCCTCCGAGTACTGGCAGATCCAGAAACTAGTCAAGTACCTCAAGGTACAAAGAAATGTTTTCTACAAATCTAGGTTCTTTTTATCTAAGAACTAGTGTCAGTTTTCAAAAGTGAGCAATACAAAGAATTAATTTCTAATGTTGTACAGTAAATCATTAATCTGGAAAATCAAACCAACAGTTTCTTCTCTCCGTATGATTGTCCATTGATGATTATTTTTTGGGGGGAGGGGAATTTAACTTTTTGATCCACTGATCTACCTTGCCTGAAACAGGTTTTATGCAAACCACTTCAAAAGACCCCAACGCGTTCCATTTTTCACAAGAAATTTGCCTCCACTCCTGACCCATTGCCAAAATAACAATCTGTTTATTTTTTCTGAGAAGACATACTTTGTACAAGTTACTATGACACACATAAACGTAGCATTCCATTCTTCACAATCAAAATGCCTCCACCCCTGAGGTGTCGCCAAAAGAGAATCTTTATCTTTCACAGGGAGGGAACCAGACGGCCACCATCATCGCTCTGTGCTCGATGCGGGACTTTAACCTGACCCAGGAGACGTGTCAGCTGGCCATCCGAGACGTCGGCGGTCTGGAGGTCCTTATCAACCTGCTGGACACCGAAGAGATCAAGTGCAAGGTAAATATACTGTAGGAGGGTATTATGGAATGATAATGACCTGACTTGCTGTGCATAAATGACTGGGTGTTATGTCATAACTATCTGTTAATTGGCTGTTGCCAGAAGAAAATGACTATTCAAACTGCTATCCGACTTTCAAATCTAAGTCATATACATGTACATGGAACCTGGTACATGTAATATTCTATTCATTATATGGTCACCACAACATACTTTCTCTAGATCACTTGTTGGTGACAGACATAAAAAAATTGTTTTCAAACTGTTTTACAGATTGGATCCCTGAAGATTCTGAAAGAGATCAGTCACAACGCGCAAATCCGGCGCGCGATCGCGGATCTCGGGGGTCTGCAGACCATGGTGAAGATTCTCAAGTCGCCTGACAAGGACCTGAAGTGCCTGGCCGCAGAAACCATCGCCAACGTGGCCAAGTTCCGCCGCGCACGCCGTACCGTCAGGCAACATGGCGGCATCAAAAAGCTGGTAGGTGGTTTCAAGTTTGAATTCCTTGATCAACTGCTCCTCCTATCATTTGAGAGCAGTACTGCATGCAGGTTAGCTTGCATAGTAAGTGGCATGTATGGCTTTTAGTTTTACAGAAAGCTGCAGTTCTTTGCACTAACCACAAATTGTATTAGTGAGACATTGAGGAAGGTTGAGGTGCAATGCCTTACTCAGCTGCTAGGGGTCTCTCCTAGTACATGCAAGCAACACCATTATTCTACAGGCTACTGCATGGTCAAGGGCCTCTATTGTCTTCCTGACTTGAAGTTCATAACAAAATGTGGTATCTTTCAGTGTCATTTCCGTCACATCACTTGTGACAGTTGCTCGATAAGCAAACAATTATATAGGTCCACGCCACTTTGAAGTTTGAAAATCATTGGGTGAACGCCAACGCAGGAAACAAGTGCCTCTGTCTTGTTTTTCCAAACACTCAGGACTCAAATACGTTTCCCAGCTGTATTGTATTAAGATGAGGAGGGCAAACCAAGAGAATGGAGATAACATTCAAGTTTGATTCTCTCAGTTTCAGATAAAATTCCATTGCTGTCTTCTTATGTTAGTTCCAAAAATACGTAAAGGATGATTTTCAAATTAGACGACAAAGAAATTGTTTCAAGACCAAGAATACAAAAACAAGAAAGCTGAGAAAAATGAACAATTTTTCTGACATGTTCCTAAACAAGATACATTAAAACCCAGGCCCTTTAAGTTTTAGATAAAATTCCATTGCTGTCTTTTTATATGTTTAGTTCCAAAAATATGTAAAGGATGAATTTCAAAGAAATTGCTTCAAGACCAAGAATACAAAAACAAGAAAGCTGAGAAAACAGAACTTTGCAATTTTTCTGACATGTTCCTAAACAAGATACATTAAAACCCAGGCCCTTTAAGTTTTGGATAAAATTCCATTGCTGTCTTTTTATATGTTTAGGTCCAAAAATATGTAAAGGATGATTTTCAAATTAGACGACAAAGAAATTGTTTCAAGACCAAGAATACAAAAACAAGAAAGCTGAGAAAAATGAGCAATTTTTCTGACATTTTCCTAAACAAGATACATTCAGCCCCAGGCCCTGAGGCTTCTCATTTGACAGCTGTGCCCTTGGTGACCTTGTAATTTGGAGGTTGACCTTGAGTTTTCAAAACTAACTTTGAGTTGACTTCCCAGGAATACCAATTAACCAGGAAGCACAGTAGCTTGTTTTTATGGTTTAAAGACATGAAGCAAACATTTTGATTATTTTTTATGCTTTTTTTCTGAAAGTAAAGTGTACATGTGCGCTGAAAAGCACAATGTTGCATGAAAATATTGAAAACTACAGTGCCTAGAAGAAATGTGACAAAACACATAGAACCAAATTACTTTTTCAAACAGTCACAGTATAAGTCTAAAGCCAACTTTTGAAGTATACTCAATGAGTTGCACTTTGTTAAAGTTTGTATTCAGCAATTCTTAGTATATTTTCTTACAACTTTGTCTTGAATACTAAGCTTGAAACTGATTTTTACAATAAGTAACATTATTCAACAAAACTTAATTAATGGTTCAATGTCTTAGAATAACCTATAATACAAGATTCCTAGAACACAAATTTGCTAATAAAATGTAGACTTTCCATTGGTCAACTCAAGGACATTACACAACTGAAGTTAGCAGATCATTTGGCACTTTTCCAGTGGCTGAATCCAACTGAAGTCAGCAGTTTATTCGCTAACAGAAACTTTCCAAAGGTTGAATCAACAGTGCATGTTGTCCACATTTCACCTGGGAAAACCCTCTATCAACAGTAGCAAAAGTTAATGGGGTACAAAAATCCCCCAAGGGATCCTCCAGATTACCACTTGCTGAAAACAGATTAGGAAAACAGGCCAGGATTACACCAGAGATATGTTAATCTTGTAAAACGCTAATCCCCTTATGGTTAAGGAGGTACAAGAAAACAAGACTGTTTCTTTCAACAGAGGCGTGGATTGTCCTAATCTACATGTAGAACAAGAAGCGTAAACACACTAGTGGTGTACTACTCATTTATCATTGTGCAAACTTGTCATGCTGTAAGTTCAAGGTAGTTTGCCCTCCACTGAAACAATTGATCAAGTGTACATAAGAGTTGAATGTGTATGGTTGTTGCTATCATTACATGTAGTATGTTTTTCTTCACTTTTTGTAGGAAATATTGAAAAAGCAAATTGAGTTTTGATATTTAAATGCCCAAGTCAACTGTTCAGAAAAAAAGCTATATGTATCTGTCCATCCCCTACTTATTACCCGATTTACCCCCAGAGTCTTGACCTGTATATCTCCCCTCCCCCCTAACAGTAAATGATCTACCCCTTCCCCTAACAGTAAATGATCTACCCCCTTCCCCTCCCCCTAACAGTAAATGATNAACCCCTCCCCTTAATAGCAAATGATCTATCCCCCTCCCCCCTAACAGTAAATTATCTATCCCCCTAACAGTAAATGATCTATCCCCCTAACAGTAAATGATCTACCCCTTCCCCTAACAGTAAATGATCTACCCCTCCTCCCCCTAACATCAAGACTTAGTGATCTACCCCCTCCCCTCCCCCCTAACAGTAAATGATCATCCCCCTCCCCTCCCCCCCTAACAGTAAATGATCTGCCGTGACTAATAGCATGTTTAGTCAGACAGGGGATACTTCTTGCCTGAGGCCGCTAATTAACCAGGAATGAACCACAATTACATGTACACACCGCTGTCTACTGGTTCTAGTTGATTTATCTCACAGATTAACAGAAATAATCAAGTAATGATGGTAACTGTTATCCAACACAGACACTTTCTTTTCAAAAGATTCTGTGAGAACATCTTTAAACATCTGCATGTCACGTTTTGTTTCTACAGTTTGTAAGTGATTTAACTTTTCTTTTTCCCTTGCCTTGTGCAAGTGTGTTAACTCTAGAAAGAACTATCTATAGATCTTTTTTATGAATGAATAAAAGACTTTCATGGTCCTACAAGCTAAGTACAGGTCCTGAAGATAAATTCTAGGCACAATTACAGCACTAAGTCTTGTTGTAAGAATCTGGTATGTTATTACAGATCTATATGTACAGAGTGTAACAGGGGTCTAGGTATACTAGTATGTACAGGTTCGATTTCTTCTTGCTTCTAAGCCAGTTGTGCATTTAGCTTTTATGCTTTTACCCAGTTAGCTAGTCAAGTGACATCTCGCAGCTTTCAACTGAACTTGAACCAAGACTACCCTTACTAACTAACAGACTGATATATTCTGTTACAGTATGAAATCCAATGCGATTTCAGGGAAGCAAAACTGGAAATATTCTGAATAGGGCAATCTTTGTGATATTGACACCTACTGTTTCACATTAGCACATTTAAATCATCATTTCAGACTTCGGGCATTTAAAACTGAAGAAACAAGCCCCAAGATGAATCCTCTATTTTCTGGGTGGTAACCTAAAAATCAGCCCTGAGGGCCCTTTCAGTAACCATTTTCCGTCAGAATTTTGGGAATTTTTATTCAATGAGGGTCAATATACATTTGGATAGTGTGGTTTCAATTCAGTATGTAGATAAAGTGACTAGAATATTGACTTTGAAAAATCAGGTTTCCAAGCCCTAAAAATTGCACTGGATAACTTTAAAACATTTTCCCCCTCCAGGTTGGTTTGCTGGACTGTGCTCCTCTTGGCTCTGTCCCGATGACTCCTGAGGTTGAGAAGGACATCGAGGTGGCTCGCTGTGGCGCCCTGGCTCTCTGGAGCTGCAGTAAGAGCACTAAGAACAAGCAGGCCATCCGTAAGGCTGGGGGCATCCCGCTACTGGCCAGGCTACTCAAGTCTTCTCATGAGAACATGCTGATACCAGTGGTGGGCACTCTGCAGGAGTGTGCTTCAGAGGTAAGGCTTTTTTTCCAAGAAAAGACCAAAAAAAATGAGGAAAAAAATTTGAAAGGCTCCTTAAAAAAAGGTCTCGTTCCACTATATTGCAGAGCATAGGGGTGGCGCTCATCTCCCTCTCTGTAGCCCTTGGGCCACACAGTTGTGCAATCACTACAGCAGGGGGCTAGCCCACTGGTAGTGCTGTGTGTTTGACCTTCCCACACTCTTTCTCATATGTGCTGAGTGCTAAGCAGAGAAAGCAATACATGTATGTACCATTTTTAAAGTCTTTGGTATGACCCAGCCAGGGTTTGAACTCACGGCCTCCCGGTTACAAAGCGAGCACTCTAACAATTGAGCTATTGTATCCTCCTCAAAAGAGTTTTTGAAACTTTCCCCTCTTCTTTTAAAAGAAACTTTTCTTCCCTTGTCTTTGAATATTTTGGGGAAAATGTGTCTACTTGAAAGTTTATCATGATTGTGTATGTGAATGTTGTAAATTTCCTTTTACAGCAAAGTTACCGGCTGGCTATTCGGACAGAGGGAATGATAGAAGACTTGGTGAAGAATCTCCACAGCGAGAACCAAGTCCTCCAGATGCACTGTGCCTCGGCCATCTTCAAGGTAAGAAAACAATCTTAGATGGTCATTTTACAAATGTCTTGGGCCACATTGTAGACAGATAGCACATAAAAAAGGTGGCACAATATTGTACATTCTAACATGCATGTGTGAGTGAGTGAGTGAGTGAGTGAGTGAGTGAGTGAGTGAGTGAGTGAGTGAGTGAGTGAGTGAGTGAAGGAATAAGTGAGTGAAGGAATGAGTGAGTGAATGGATGAATGAGTGAGTGAGTGAGTGAGTGAGTGAAGGAATAAGTGAGCGAAGGAATGAGAGTGAATGGATGAATGAGTGAGTGAATGAATGAGTGAGTGAGTGAGTGAAGGAATGAGTGAGTGAGTGAATGGATGAATGAGTGAGTGAGTGAGTGAGTGAGTGAGTGAGTGAGTGAGTGAGTGAGTGAGTGAGTGAGTGAGTGAGTGAGTGAGTGAATAGCAGAAGCAAAAGCACAGAACATTCATGTCAGGTCATGTGTGACAATTGTAAACACACCTGTTCCTAATGCACTTTAATGACTTGGTTGCATATTATACACTTCTTTTGTATAACCAAAGATAGACAAAGACTTTTTTCCACCTGTCTTCATCTAGACAAAATTCTCTGTAAGTTACTGCAGACATGTTCTTCCCATGACTTGTCTGTTTTGTGTTGTATGCTTTAGACATACCAGTTCCATGTAGTCACACTCATAACACTCATGATAGAACATTCCACCCCCCCCACCCCCCTGTCTTCATCCTATGACATGGTCTGCTTTTTTGAGTGGCCCAAATGCAACAGAGAAGAGCACTTGAAGTTGAAGCACCATACGGCACTGTCTGTGAAAACATAACGCACGCTGTTAAGCGTAAATCGTCCCAAGCGGATGGCCAAAAAAATGGTCTGTTTGCTTTCATGGGAAAGCGTCAATTCACAGTGACTCAAGGGTCGTTGTTTTTGCCCTTGGAATGGTGCCCGCATGCCCTTTTCTGTAGAGCGTAATCAGCCATTTAAGTTCTACGTAGAGCATAGACGGACCGCTGTAATTCAACGTAGAGCGTAATTGGCTCATTGTGCGAAGAGCGTAATTCACAGTTTTAATTCTACATAATGCATTATACCTACGCTGAATTTATCGTAAAACGTAATGGGGAGGCTTCTTGAATTCAGCATAATACGTACATGTAGCCGGCTCTTAAAATTTAGCATAGAGCGTTGTCGGGACCCCCCATGCAGGCCCTCTTCACAGTGATTCAAAGGTTGTTGTTTTCCCCTAAGAAGGACACTGTTGGGTACGGATGTGGTACCTCTCTATGTTGTGAGCGATTCCCTGTTTTCGGATCTTGATGCCACACTTGGGGTTTGGGGGCAACTCCCATAGCGGTAGTGTGATGACACTCATGATACAAGTGTGTCCACACACACACAGTGTAGCTCAGTTGTTTAACCCATTGAACAGTGATCCTAGAAGAACATGTTATGTGAATTTGCAGCCTTGCTTTCACACAGGCACAGTACATTCTACTAACATGCTATTTTGACCTTAGTTACAATTATACTGGTACAAAATTAATGCACAGTTATGTAGCACTCCTAGATTACTGTTGGTAAAGGCTTTGGCTACACCAATTTAATTTGTTGGTTCTCGGATTCGCCTCTTTTTTTCTGATTTGCCAAAAAAAAGAAAAGATTCCGGTCCTGAATTAACTAAAAAATGCTCATATTTTGCCTCCAACAGTTGAGGAAAGTCCTTTTCTTCCTAGTTGTTCCAGCAGTTTTTCCATCTATCAATGCAGTGGTTTGATTAAAAGTTCAAAATTCATTGTTTAGATATTAACCCAGTCCTATGGTCAGTACTTGGGGCTATAATACATGTAGGTTGCCTAGACCTTTTTTTGCCCTGTTGCTCCATTTTTTTTTAATGCGAGAACTAACAAATTAAATTGGTCTGGCCTTGAATCCAATCTGAAGTTCAAAGTGATATCCCTGTTCACACCCTGCTACACATGTAACTCTATTGGACATTGCTCTTTCATCCAGATAAAGCGATTCCTTCAATATCAAGTTCAAAGTCGGCCGGACTTTTCGGGTCATTTCCAGAAAACTATGAGCTGAATGTAAGACATTGAAACCTCTCTCTTACATCTGAAGAACCATATGTGTTTAATAATAAAGTACCCTCTAAGTAGTATTGATAAAAACTCACAATTTGATTTCTTTGCCAAGTCATTGTTGCCTCAAATGTTCTGTTACAGATTTGGAACATTGCATGATCTAAAATGTAAATTTGCCATATAGACCTGTGTTTTTTTTTCACCCGCTCGCTTCATATTTTTTCTGGGAAAATCTGAGAACCAACAAATTAAATTGGTGTGGCCTTACCATAGTAATTCAATTTCTTGATTTGGATCCAGTCCAAAACTCTGTTCGCCAGGCCTGGGTCTCATCTTTGCCACCGAGTGTGTGTGTGTATAATTACCCGCCTTGTACGCAGTGCTAACTAGAATGCAATAATTTGTTCACGGACCGAACACGGAAAAGCTCCAGCTGTTTATACATGTACTGGTTGGGTGGGTCAACTTCAGTTGATGGTTCACTGACGAAGTTAAAACAACGGTCGCTATAACAGAATGTCCATTGGATGCCATTCTTCAGTACACTTTTTAGGGCATGGAATCCAGATTTTTCAAAGTCAATATTCTAGTCACTTATCTAGACATACTGAGTTGAAACCACACCATCCGACAATGTATGTATATATTAATATTGACCCGCATGGAGCAAAAATCCCCAAAATTCTGACGGAAAATGGTTACTGGAAAGGTCTTTGGCTGATTTTTAGGGTGCCACCCAGAAAATAAAGGACTCATCTTGGGGCTTGTTTCTGCAATTTTAAAAGTATGAAATACTGACTCAAATGTGCTAATGTGAAGCAGTATGTGTCAATATCATACAGATAGCCTTATTCAGAATATTTCCAGTTTTGCTTCCCTGAAATCGCATTGAATCCCATTCTTTAAAGTCACGTACACATGTACATTTGTAGTAGTTAGTGGGAGGGGGTAACGACGCGTATAAACACAGGCTCAGTGACCTTTTGCACCAGACCAAATTGTGTAGTTTTCCCCCCATGTGGTTTTGTAACATGTTCATTACTAGCCGGGGTAGGCAGACAAAACAGTTTTTCATACAGTAGCATTTGGCTTTCAAAAACACACTACGGGGTATTTCTTGATATTTTAAAACAATTTCATGTCATTTGTACAATTGTACATACTAAAAATTGTTGTTCCTGATTACCAAGCTACATTTTGTAGATCTTAAATTGAAAACTAAAAGATACTGCAAAACACTTGATTTTAGCAGTTTTCAAAATTAGGCCACAGCAAGTAAATTTCATGGATGACATCTTCCGCAGACTCCAAATCTAATGCTATAGGGCGAAAAAAAAAGATTGTTTCTCACTTTTCAATCAGTTTGTTGTAAACTCTTCCATTTTGGTGAGAAATAATTTTTGTTGTTCATACACATATACAAAACTTGTATCATGTAGGATTAAAAACTTTTGATTGTATATATTTTCAAAGTGCACTTAATAAATTCCTACTATTAATGTACACATACATGTAACAAGAGTTCCAAGATCTCATACCTCCATGAAATATGGGCTTGATATGTAAATTTCTTCCTTAATCATGCAAATGAGGTATGCAGAAGTTCTGCTGCAGTACCAAGATCAGTCACCAGGAGGCCCAAAATCGACCTTGACCTTTGCCTACCCAACACCTATATCCACATACCAAATATCATCACAATCCATCCAAAGGTTCAAAAGTTATGCTGGCCGCAAATGTGCGGAAACACAAACACACTACCTCCATTTTTCATGGAGGTAAATATAGCTCACACCGCAGTTTTGTCTCCCACCAGTGTGCTGAGGAGAAGGAGACCCGTGACCTTGTGCGTCAGTACGGAGGACTGGACCCGCTGGTGTCCCTCCTGGACAAGTCTGACAACAAGGAACTCCTGGCCGCTGCCACCGGTGCCATCTGGAAATGTGCCATCAGCCCCGAAAATGTGGAAAGGTAAGTCCTGGAGATTTTTCAACAGACAATATCAGACAATATCATTATATGTCTAACACAAAAGGTCCACTGCAGTGACATAGGGATCCCCCACGAGGCCCGTTTTTTAACTTGACCTTGGCCTCTACAATGGTAGCTTGCCTACCAAAAATCATGAACATCTATTTAAATATACTCTAGTTATTTTGCTAACAAGCCACAAACACAAAAGGTGCAGTGACCTACAGACCCATGAAGCTCAACTTGCACTTGACTTTGGCCTCCACAACGGTAATCTGCCTGCCAAAAATCTTATTCCACAGTCTTTCTGACGAAGACAACTAGGCTCAAACAAACATAAAACTTCCACTCCTCATCCCATTTAGATTATTAATCTCTCAATTTTTCTCTTGAAGCTTGCAATGTCAAGTAACTTTGATTTTAAACCTCTAATACACAAAATAAATTCCTCTCAGTGTCAGTGTGAATAATAAGGAATTGCCTTCTTTTCTAACTTCTGTAGGTTCCAGGAGTTGAAAGCTATTGAGAAGCTGGTCTCCCTCCTTCAAAACCAGCCAGAAGAGGTTCTGGTTAACGTGGTCGGCGCTCTGGGAGAGTGCGCACAGGAGCCGCAAAACCGCATGTCCATTCGTAAGGCTGGCGGCATCCCCCCATTAGTCAACCTCCTGACGGGGACCAACCAATCACTGCTGGTTAACGTGACCAAGGCTGTGGGAGCGTGCGCCACCGAGACAGAAAATATGACGTGAGAAAATTTGTTTGCTCTTGTTACAATCCATTGCACCTGTGTATTTATGTTTACCGAAGGAAAACATATTGTTTTTGTTCAGTTTCCTCTTCTTCTCCAAACCAAAAAGGTCAATGACCTCAAACCAGATGGCTGGTGCCATGGTAACTGGTGTTGGGTTATGTCATGTTGCAATTTTATAGCAGGAAGGATTTAGACTCCTGTCTGACCATATATAGATGTGATCTTTTTAGATATGTACTAATAGTTTTAAAGATAGGTTTTTTGAAGGAGAGTAAGTACAAAAATGCTAAGAAGCATCTTTTCACAAAAGTAAATAGAATCGTACTAAAATTCAGTTTGGAGAAAATACATATTATTTTTCTTCACACTCATAGATGCTTCTTTGCAATTGTACAAATTGTATTTTTTTTCTTCTTTATCCAGAACCATTACAAAGCATTAAAAACATCCTTTCTGCATATACAATGTATTAACAGTTACTGAATTGTACCACAACGTGTTATCTTGACCATGGTCTGTTGTTGTGTTTCTGTTAGGATCATTGACCGGCTGGACGGTGTGAGACTGCTGTGGTCACTCCTGAAGAACCAGAACCCTGAGGTCCAGGCCAGCGCTGCATGGGCCATCTGTCCATGTATCGAGAACGCCAAGGTGAGCAAACGCTAGCTCCTGTTTGGAAATACTTTGTCCCATGTGTACACAATGTATACCAGTGGAAGGCAACGATCATTACTTTATTATTACCTCCGGGGGAGGAGACATCCTTCCGCGGAAGGGTTTTGTGAGAGATTTAGATTTTCATGTTCACAGCTGTTTCTCGCATTTGGGTGGACAGATTTTTTTGGGACTCGGTGTATGTTTTGCTATTGGGTTGTAGATTATGCACGTTCTTTTGTTTTTATTGTATATGTGTTTTCGGGCAGGAAAATGGTGCCTTTTAGTGGCCCCAGAACACCCCTTTGAGCGTAAAAATGGTCGCGACTGTTGACCTTTGGCATGTTTAAGCTATTCTCGGTATGGTCCACGTATATGACCCCTCACACAGAGGGGTGTCCAGTCTTGATTAATTCTTTGTTTAGAACCCTATATAAAAAATATACAATAAAAAGCCCGGAGGTATAAAATCTCAGATTTTACTTGTTTCCTACATTTTACTAGTAGTCTGCATGTGATGTACAACTTAATTACTGTTTGCTGGAAAACCTAACTCAAAATTGTTTAAAGTTAAAACTTTTGGTCCAATACAAAAAAGTTTTCTCACCTAGAGCTTTCGACCAGTCACTCTGGTCTTCCTCAGTAGACTGACCCAGTGAGGCTTGTCACGTGGCCTCTTTGAAGTGTGATGTCAACACTTGGTCAAACGTACATGTATCTGGTAGATACCTTTAGATCATGAACTTTCATGATAGTATATAAGAAGTGATTTTGGAAAGACTAACTCAAAATTGCTTGACACAGTCTTAAAACTGTCAATTTGATGACACATCTTTTAAAGTATGGGCATTTGAAACCACCGATAGGTTTCTTACTGACTGTAATATTAAAGTTGTTCAGCAATTTATCCAAAAGACCTCAATGACACAGACTTGCAATTGCCTTAGTTTTAACCTTTTCCCAGCTGCCTAGCTCAGTAACCAATTCATGATACATTTTATTTGGTGCCAAATAGCTACTTTAGCAGGTCGACATTCCAAAAGCATGAACACTTGATGTACCACTCTGAGAGGTTTCTTTCTTCATAAGAAAGAAATTTTTAGTGTTTTCTCTACTAATCGACATGAAAAACATATCCAAAGACCTTGACACAGTCTTGCAGTTGTCATGCCTTTAAAAAATGCCTCTTTGAAGTTCTACAAGCTTGGACACGTGTTCTGATAGGTTTCGTTTTGCGTAAGGGGCAAAAATGTAACTGAGGAAATACTGATGAAATCACAAGGACGTTTTCGGACCAATTAACTCAAACAAGACACAATTAGAGCGACAAGTCTGTTATCCAGGGGATCTGAGCACGTTCTCTTGATAAGAACTACATTTGTCATTTTTAATGGGGTGGGCCACCAAGTCAAATGTCAAATATCTCATTATTCTCGAAACAGGTTTGCCAATTTTTGTTTGAATTAGAAAAGTTGTTAACACACTACACTTGTACAGTATGTGTACAAGTGGCATAAAAGATGACTGGACTGATAAATTTGTAATTTTCTTGTTTTCTTGCAACATTGCAAGAAGCTATGATAATTATTATAATGAAAAATATCTAAAAGATCCTTTTTCCTTAAATGATGTCATTGTAAGTACTAGACAATCCTCTATTTCAAAGTTTAGGTCAGTTTTATTTTGACTTTATTTGTTGAAATTAGATGCATTGTTATTGATATGACAAAACTTTTTAGTGTAATGTAAAGATATTTTGAAAAATTAAGCTCTCAAAATGACTGATCATTGAGTAAACATGACACTGTGGTCATATTTTTGCCCCAGTCAGAACTGACAGATCTTAGAAATGATGTTACCTGTCACTATAGGATGAGTCTGAACTATCTCCTGTACCTAGGCCTGTCATAGGAGTCTTAGGAATGCTAAGTCTTCATTCCAAGACAGGGTAGAACCTCAAGGAATTTCAATTGGCTGAGGTTTGACGTCTTCCTGTGTGTGTAAAGTGGAGGGAATGAGGAGTAAATCAGTTCCTGTTTTCAACAGGAAATGTGGAGATTTCACTTCTAGTTCAAACGACCTTCACTCACAGTATGTTTGAAGGTCATTACTGAGTGTGCTTCTATTTGGTCTGATGAAACACCATTTCCGCACACGAATTTCACTGAAAACTGTAATTTGAACACATTGTATACATCATTTTCATTGAATTAAATTGTGCTTGTTCAGGAAATAATTAACGTTCTGACAAAAAAATTTCGGACGTCCCAAGAGTTGAAGTCATTTCTAGTTTTCCATTGCTAGTAGAACTTTTTTAAGCCATTTTTTTCTTTTTGTTACGTGTTTAAGCTGAAAAAAGGCAGTCAACATACATGTACTTCTATAATGTTTTGTTTGTACAAATGTGCTAAGGTAGAAATAAAATAGTTTTTGTCCCTAAATCAGAAATGAGAAAAATTAACATTTTGTATTACTTTCAGGTCAATTAGCTAACTAACATAAGACCAGAGTCTTTTACTTGAAGTCTAGAAAGTTGTCTTTGGGGGAAGGGGGGGGGGGCAAAAACATGCCATTTTGACAATTTTAGTTTCTTTTTCTAATCTGCTGTCTCGGCGTGACCAAATATAAACACAGACAGGGACAGGCAGACGTGGGCTGGTGTTTGCTCCATGTGAAATGTCATGTTTCTGGATTCCCGGGAATGTGGCTTGAATGTTTACATCATGTTCGACTCGGTCGGAATGCTGGCATTTACGTAAAAGTGCGCTTCAGGATGCCTGGTATATCTTGTAATTTGCTATCAAGGCTATCAATTAAGAAGTTATATAACTAAGGCCACAGCAAGTAATTTTTATGGATGACATCAGCGCGAACATTAATTTTCACCTGATTTGGGGAAAAAAACAAGAAATTTTGTTGTCCTCTTGCCGGAAAGTGGATGGCAGATAACTATGAGGAGAGGAGACAAGACAAGGCTCTGATTTATTGTTTTGTCTTTTACTAGTTACTAAATTGATGTAGTATATAAACTTGAAAATGCAGGAACCTTGTTTTTTTCGGCCCGCCTTGTTTTTTTCGCCCGCTCGCATTAGATTTGGAGTCTGTGGAGGATGTCATCCATAAGATTTACTTGCTGTGGCCTAAATAAACTATTTGAAAATTAACAAATCTAATTGGATTTTATTATATAACCTATGCCCCTTAGTGCATGCTTAACATGGAAAATGATGTATTAATGAGCATATTAATAACCAACATCATCCAATTAACAGCCACACCCACAAGTAAAAATGACAGATGGCTGACATTTAAAAGTTGTTGAGACATTTTTCTGAAGTGATGATATTCTATAATTTTGACCTTCAAACATCATAAATAGAAAAATTAAGTTTTGAATACAGTACATTGTTGCTTTTGAAAAAATAGCCCTTTAAAAGTATATACATTGTTGTTGGCTTGGCTTCTTTTTCAAAGATTTATACAATATATATTTTTATATACATCGTAATATATTGAAAAATCACGACCTCTAGATTCTCTTGCTCTGAACCCAAATTTAGTTTTAACTTGAAGCTCTTTGCTACAGTACTGTAACTCTAAGCAATGTTTGAGCGGAAACATTCGGGACAAGTTCTACAGACTGTATTTATTTGCATCAGCCTGTGGACCCATCATTGTCCATCCTTCAGACTCTCCTGCCAAGTTCACACAAACTCAAGTTCAACTCAGGTCCTGCCGGACCTTCTACAAATGTTGTCATTCAGGGACGGTCCATTCTGAATCTTGAGCAGGGGAGGGGAGGTTGGACGTTTTTTTCGGATTGAAAGAACAAACTGCAGTTTAGGTAGGGGGCCTGCATGCCCTTTTTGTAAGGCGTAATCAGGCCCTTTTAGTCTTCGTAATTCCTAGGCAGCCTCCCCAAAAATCAACGTAATTCGTATATTTAGAACATTAACAGTAAAGCATAAAGTCGTAATCAGCTCTGAGGCTTTAACGTAATTTGTAATTGGCGGCAAAAATTTTGCGTAATTAGTAATCACTACCCCCCATGCAGGCCCTCTAGGTAGGAAAAGTTCATATTCAATGTTAATCATATGCTAATATACTAATGCTAATGCATATTACCATATGCTAATATAGTGGGTACAAATCCAAGTTCAAATTTTGCGACAAAAATCGTTTGTGAATAACAACAACATCTGCAGTTTAAAAGGATGCTGCTAAGGGACCCAAAAGTCTTTCAGACAGCAAAGCCCACCCACAGACCAAAAATCATGTATCATGTTAATCTAGCTATTCATAACAAGTTGTCCTGGTCTGAAACCAACAAACCATTGGCAGATAATAATGAAAACATGACTGAGTTAAAAATAGCACAATAGTGTTACTGGTGTGTCTCTAACTCTTGACAAGACCGGTACTTGTGCTTGTTGAAAACTTCGACAACTTGCCAGAATGGCACATTAGTGCTACAGAACTTGACCTGTGAGGGAAAGAGGGGAAAATTCCATCCGTCCACTGTCAACAAGTGTGACAAGTCTGGTTAGTCTCTGGTTTAGCTGTGTGTGTGTGTGTGTGTGTGTAGACTCTTTCAAAAGAAAACTGGAGTTTAAAAAATGTGTACCTGTAACTAGAAAACACAGTCTAGGACTTTTTGATATAAAGAAAGCTAATAAATAAATCTTTTCATTGGCTCCAAGTAGTGCTGCATATCTAAACCCACATTTAGGTTCAGGTCCGGATTCAAGTCCAGAAGTTTAGGTTCAGTTCCGAACTTGTTAGTCTGGACCTAAACCCATAGCATATACAAAATTGCATGTTGGCAACCTTGCAATGTTGTCTGGGTGAAACTTTGGCCACATACATGTAACATAGAGGCCGTTACTTGACGATGCCCGATGGCAATGTTTTCTTTATTTTGCAGCAAAGATTTTGCAATCTACGCATAGTTTTAGGTGGTTTGGAAAGAAAAGGGGTATGTGAAATGGTGACTTTTATGGTTACCCGCAATAAGTCCGGACTCGGTTCTTGACTTTTAGGTTTTTTTTGGACTTGAACCTCAAAACATTCTTACAAGTCCGGATCCAAGTCCAGTGAACCGGTAAGCAGCACTAGCTCCAAGTACACCGATTACGCTTTAAGATAAATTCCAGGTAGCTACAATGCATTACATGGAATTAAAACAGCGAATTATGCTCTACCCAAAATGCCCCAAATTACGTTCTATGTTGAAATAGATGAGTCCATCTACGCTCTACGTAGAATTAAAACAGCCGATTACACTCTACGGAAAAAGGCATGCAGGCCCCCACTGATACATCGGCTGTCAGCTGTCTGTCTACAGTGCAGTTGACCTTGCAGTTTACCCTCCACATCCTGTCAGTTCTAGTAATGGGGCTTCAAGGTTGGGCAGCCAATGAGGCGGCTCCAAACAAAACTGCTCTTGTCTAAGGCTGTAATACCTCAGGGGAAGGCTGTAAGTAGGCCCTGTGTTGTCCAAAAAATTTCCTGAAAACAAAACCTGATTCACCAGAATGGGAATTTGTGGAATTCTGCTTAAAAGCTCGGAAAGTAAGGAACTTGGAATGTTTAACTTTCCAGAAGAGTGCTATTCTGATTTTGTTCAGGTATTGGTCAGGAAATTCTACTTACTGGCTTGGAAAACTGTTTAGAAGTCGAGGAATTTTTGTGACATCGTTGTTAAACTGTGTGAAAATGTGACGCCTTGACTTTTCTGTAGGATCACCTTTTAAAATAGATAACAAAGCGGCAACAGGATGTGTTAAATAATCATATAGTATTATTCATAACAAACCATAAATGTGATTGTTAGTTTCCTTGGTGAACAATGTGGTTACATAGAAAATTTTGGTTCAGGTATAATTTGTCAATGAAAAGTATTTCAGCACTATGGACAAAACCACATTGAATCCCATAGTATCTAACCCCTCCCATTTAACTAAGGATTTGCAAGGACTGAATGTGTTAGAGAAGCAGAACAAGAAAAGCATTTGTACATGTACAATGTACATGTACAAATGCTTTTCTTGCCTCCCCCTTGAAGGATTGAAATGGATCGTCCCAGCTATGTCACATCAGGCCCATTTTGTTGTTACAAGTTCAGACTTGCATGTAAATTCTCAGTCAGGGTAGGAATTTCCCAGCCTCCTCTGGGAGCACTAACAATGTAGCACACACGCAACTGCCGCAGTTACAAGGGGGTCTGTATGCCCTTTTCTGTAGAGCGTTATCAACCGGTTTAATTCTACGTACAGCGTAGACGGACCACTCTAATTTGCGTATTTTGCGTAGAGCGTAATTCGTCATTTTAATTCCACGCAATGTGTTGTAGCCACCCAGAATTTATCATAAAACGTAATCGAAAGGCTTTTTGAATTCAGGATAATACGTAGCCGGCTCTCAAAATTTAGCGTAGAGCGTTGTCTGGACCCCCCCATGCAGGCCCCCATGTAGTCACCAAAGCGGCAGTTACACCGGACCAGTCCAGCCATTTCATACACTCTCACACTCGGAATTTATCGTAAAACGTAATCGAGAAGCTTCCTGAATTCAGCGTAATACGTAGCAGACTCTTAAAATTTAGCGTAGAGCG